AAGCTTCTTTTAGGAGGATTTTGCTTTTACTTTATTAATTTCTAATGTGTTCATATTTGGGCCCTTGGCTTTGCATATACTGAATGCTCTTGGGGAAAAGTCCTGCTATTAAAGATTTACAACTAGTTTCTGTGATATCTATGATATTTAGTGTCCTGCTGTTACGGTTGACAGAGTAGATATCTTACAGTGATCCTGAGACAGATTTCAGAATTCACTGTGCTTTAGGCTCCCACTGTTATTCTCCCATTTTTTGTTAAATTTTTCTGAAAATTCTGAAAAAGGCACAAACGTATCCTTTTTGAAGGAGGAGTTCCTGTGCTCTTCAAAAGAAATACAGTCACCTTCACATCTTAGATGCTAAGTAGTTCTCACAAGTCAGGAGCTGTGCAGCTGAGCAGTCGCTCAGCAGGAGTTCAAGGCTAAGAAGCAGGAATTACCTGTGTCACTTTAGTGCCTATATGTTTACTCTGGAGTCAAAATAAAAACGGACCCACAGAGTTTCTGGCCAGTTCAGAATCATACAATTGTTGAGGTTGGAAGGGACCTCTTGACATAATCTTGTCCAACCCCGTGCTCAAGGTTTTCTTCACTGAGTTTAAATTTACATGTTAATCTACAAAAAAAGTATAACTATCACCATAATTAATGTGTCTCTGTTCTGGCTTCTGAATGTTTAACCTTTGTTTGCTTCATTGTTATATGTGTCCTGCTACCCTTCGTAAGCTCCATGTCTTCAGGAAAGTATCCAAACAATGAAATAAAATAAAACAGAAAACCCCTTCATGTTGCACCAGAACAGCTACCATTAGAACAGGGTACTTGGTTCAGTGTGGTCGTTGAAGCTCGATATCTTCTGAAAGCTTCTGATTTCAGGGTGCTTAGCTTGACTGAAAATTAAAATGCTGTTTAGAAGCTGTTTTGATGCAGGCTGTGCTTCCTTTGCTTCCCACTTTTATCATAAGATCCAAGCTCCAGCCATGTTACTGATCCTCTTCATCCCTTGGCCAGGGCACAGTGTAAGACTTCTACTCTCAGGTCTCCTAACTCCTCACCAGCACAAATAGCTCAGTCCTTTTTTTGTCCTGCTGGATGGGCAAGGCTCTGGATGGACTGGGGCTAATGTGTGTGCTCGTTTTGGCTGGCCAAAAAAGAGGTATGTGTGTTTTTGATTGACTATGCAGCTGGCAGTTAGACACGCTCTTTGTGGCTGGCATGTCACCAAGTGCCCTTGGTAGCTGCCTGTTGTGTAAGCATTGCCAAAGCTCTTCGAAACTTTGCTGCTGCTAGCTAGACCGAGTGTATGCATCTTGCATTGACAGTTTGGACATGGAACACTTTATCTTAGAGGAATCAAAACACTGGTGGTGTTTCTAAGTACATAGCCTGATGCAAAGTAGAAGCATAACCTATGTACAGCAGTGACGTAAAAGTATTGAGCTATGGAAAAGGAAAAGCATAATACAAGGAAAAGTAATGCTTGTATTTTGTGTCATGCTTTTCTCATACATCAAAGAAGGCAAAGAAACCCTCAGCTGAACAGAAATTTGAAAGACTTATGTAATGAGTGGGAAAAAAGTTGCATTGAAACATGATTTATAAAATCAAGGTATTTTAAGTACCTCTTATGATAACATAACATGGAAGCAGTCCAGAATAAAATATAGTCTGTCTACAGTTGGGGGAAAAAAAATTATTATTTGTAAAGCAGTCACACAACACTAGACAAAAATTAGTCTTTATTATAACTTTTTTATATGTGGTAGTACGAATCTGCAAATACTCTTGTAGCCAAATTGCCATGTAATAAATCAATTGTTGTTCAAAACACTCAGATGCTTCATTCTTACTGGTGGAGGATGAATGTTGCTATTGGTTTTTTATATCGCATATAGCTTCTCCATGGAAAAATTCTGTACCTGGATGTTATAGAAGATTTGAAAAAATATGTTAATAAAAAGGATCAAGTTAAAATTTTTGCAGTCAGATTGGTCCCTGACACTCAAGAGACATAAAGCAGGAGTCCGATCACTCCAAACTAGTGGAAAGAGCTTGGCTTAGCCTTGGAACTATTTAGTTCTCTCCGTTGACTTACAGGGTGGCTAGACTTCATCTACATGCCAAAAAGCTGATGAATTTGGGCTGTGTGTTCTGTTGTTCACTCCTTGGATCTTTCTGGATGGTCAAATAAGCCATTATCCAAAATGGCACTATTAAATCCACCTTAAATGTGAATTGTGAAATTCAGTCATATTATAGAGGACTTTATTGAAATTATTGAATGAAACTTGTAATATGTAATACAAAGAGAGTGCTATCTGTAGTTACTCTAGAAACACAGGTATAATTAGAACAGAGTTGTCCCTGCTTTATTGATTTAATTCAGGAAGAACTCTGACCAATCGTGCAGCTGGCAGGACTATGCTTTGGGTTGATTGTAGTTTTGAGTAACAGTTAAATTTGAGCGACAATGGAGTTGGTGTATTTCACAGCCAGAAGGGTAAGAAAAAAGGCAGTGTTCGGGGTTTGGGAGCTTCTGGGTATCTAAAGCTACGAGACATAAAATAGGTAGCAGGGAACCTGTGCAGCCAGAATTCTATACACAGTGTTTGGGGTTTTTTTGAAGTTTTTTTTCTTTTTGCTTTTTATCGATGTGGCATACTGATAATACTTAAAGGTTTTTTAGGCAATTTGGGAAACTCATTTTACCACTCTTTGAGTAGTAGCCATAAAAATAAATTCAATTGCTCTTGAACGTTTCTAGATAAAGTTTCACTGGGTTTATAAGTATTTTCTATTTGAGTCTCAGGCACTTGTTAATACTTACTTACCATTTTTTCCTTTTTGGAGGATTGGATAGCTTTGGTCAAAGCTGCTGCTGCAGCAGCAGCCAAGAACAAAGCAGGAAGTAAACCTAGAACCAGCGCAAACAGCAATAAAGATAAAGAGGAAAGAAAATGGCTAAAAGTTCCTTCAAAAAAGGAAGAAACCTCAACCTCTACAATCATGCAGGAAGTCCAAAAAAAGGAAGAGGAGCCTACATCTAGTGACACATTTGGTAAAAACAAATTCTATAAAAGATAAACTAGGTTTTTCTGTAATGTTGAAGTAGAACTCCTGTTGTTAATTTTGCAATTAAGTAATAACTGGTAGTTCTAGAGGAAGATGTCTCATTTGCTGTTCTGATAACTGTTCTGATACATAACATTAATGAGTTCAGAAACGATTTTTATCAGATAAGTCTAGTTGGGTCAGCATTTAATCCTTGTGCAAAACTTCTTATGTTCTGCTCTTGTTAGAGCTAGGTAGGTTTTGGTTTTTTTTTCATGACTTTGTTGTATGCTTTGGTTCATATTCCTGCACCTTCTGTTACCTGAGAGATAATTGTTGATACTGTTCAAAAAAAAAAAAAAAAAAATCCAGTATGGGTGATATATCCATATTCAGGGATGTTTGAAACTATTTCTGGGTTGATATGAATCTGTTCATTTTAAGTCTTTAATACCGCATTTCTCATAATATTGAGTAAAAATTACAAATTTTGAGGTAATCTGCATCCAATGCTTCAACGTGTAATGCCAAATCTTCAGAATGTGTCGTTTTCATTTTTAATAGAATTTTAAAGTTTCCTTACTGCAGTATTCTAATAGCGGTTCTGAAATACTTAAGTATTTTGGGTGTTGTTATGTATTTATGAAATGTGAGTTTATTAGATTTTTCTTCTGTTTAAAAGTAGGATTTCCTGTAGTGGATGTTCCAAAGATGGCCTTTGTGCAGGCAGAGAGCACGTTATCACACAAGAGGAAAAGTAATCTAGGCAACTCATTTCAGGCAAAGAGAGCTCGTCTTAACAAGATCACTGGTAAAATACTTCTTTTTTTGTTGATGACTTTTTTTCCTTTTTAATGTAGTGAAATATACATGCTCACATGTAAGGTACTAAAGTAGATGGATAAAAGCACATTCATGAGGCAGATATTTGCTACAATCTTTTACTTGCTTGGAATTTTAAAGGGATCTATAAATAGTAATAAAATCTATCATGTTCATAAATTCAGAGAATGGTCTCAGACTTGACTTGGTCTTTTTAGTTTTCTAGGAAGGTAACCATCCTGAACTGCTGAATTTCTTGAGTATGTTTTAACTCCAGCTGCACAATTTTATCCATTATCGGGTGAATTTGGGGTTTGTACAAGTTCTTAACATGGTCATGTGTTACATACCACCAATATAAATTAAAGCTTTTGTTAGCTGTGGAAAAACTAAATGTTTTGTCATGGCTTGTCATAAAGTAAAACTGCTTCTGAAAAAAGTTTACAGTATGTCATTTAAAAGTATACAAGCCTAGCCACAAATTGAAGCAGTGAAGATCTGAGATGGTTTTTTCAGTGTCTAAGGCATTCATTTCCTATGTTTATTACTCAAAGGTATTAATGGAAAAAAGTATATGGCTATAGAATGCATTTTATACAACAGGAAATGGAATAATAGATAATTGATCTTATCTTTAAAAGTTGAAAAATGCATTTTATTCCAAAATTTAATAGAAATTTACTCAACTGTGGAAAAATTATTTCAGCCTGTATCCCTCCTCCCCCATGCCTCACAATAAGCAAATTATGTTGCCATCATTGATCCTGTCAGTATTTAGGATGAGGTAATATGTTTGTACCTGTCATGGGAAAGTATCAGGTGCATTTCAGAAGCTGGGTGGAAAAAAGTTGTGAAGTCCCCCCCCTTAACAGAGGGGACCTTGGACAGACGGTGAGATAGAAATGCATTCTACTCATTATTCTAGTAAATAATATTTTGTGTGAAGTCTGACAAACTCTTCTATGCTACAGACATGGCCAGTTTTCTTGTGAGTGTTGGTTCCATTTCAGTCTCTCAATCAGTACTGCAATCTAAAGGAGAAAATAAATGAAATGGGCCAGTATGGAACATGATATGAAGGAAGCAGTCTTCAGAAAAACCCATCTTCTGCCTCCAGGATTTTCTTTCCTGGAAGGCTTCATATTTGGTACCAAGTTTAGTTAGCAGATGTCTGATTTATCAGCATCATTTCTACTCTCCTTTGCCCATACTGCATACACCCTCAGTTAAGTCCCAAATTAATTGCTGCCATGAGCAGTAGAAGTACAAAATATGTATACTAGTGATATATATTTACAGAGCCCTGTTAATTTCTTTCCAATAGCAGTTAGCAGCAGAAGATACGAAAACCAGCTGAAAAACCTGTAGCTCTAGAAATTATATTTTTTTTTTTTTGTGCTTGTGGATAGATTCTCCTTTCTGAAGGAGCTTTATGAGAATAATAGCAGTTGGATGGGATTGTGTAGACTGAACTGAATAATCAGAAAACATCATGTTGCAGCCGTTGACTTTGTTATCATTCTAAAAACAGTGTCTCCTGTCTCTATGAAAGCATACTCTGCTAGCAGAGACTATGTTACCATTCAATGAAAGTGAATTAATCCTTTAATTACAAGATGAAATTTGTCATGCTTGGTAGTCGCTTTGTGTAACTGTTCTCAAATTAACACACTTCTGCAACTCATACTGTAGTAGGTTTTTGATTGTTGCATATAATGGAGCATTTTGAAAACGTAACTGCTGATGATCAAACTTCCTCTTGCTACGTGCTTATTTCTTACGCTTGAAATACTTGTAAATTGTTTGTGTTTCCAGCATGAGCTTTTAGATTTGAAGGAAGGTTGGGAATCATGCTGGTGTGCCCATCAGAATGGCTACAGAAGAATCATAAAGCATTGTAGCTGTTAGGAAAACATTCATTTACCAAGTGTCTTATGGCTGTATTGGGGAAGTAGAGCAAATAATGTGGTTGTAGGAGGCTGGCTGAAGGGAACTGTTGTCTGGATTTCAATTCAGCGTTCAGTATTTGTTGCAGAAGGTTCTCCTTGTCTGCCATGAGGGCAACAGCTACATCTGGTGGTCTTTGCTCACCATTCAACAAAATAAAGTTGCTTCCTTTGTTCATCTTTCTTCTGTGACTGCCACTGGGGTAAATTACATTTCCCGAAGGTGAAGGATGTCTCCTGCTAAGCACATATTAATGTCTTCTTCCCATTAGTTTTTGCCTCTGTTGGAATGCTTGCTTCTACGTCTCCTGCTGCTGTGTTGATACATAAAAGACCAGAGAAGATCTGCAGCATGCTTACAGAGCAAAACACTTCTGGTTCACTGTGCCACCCCATGCTTTTTATTTGTTACGTGCTGTTACTGAGAGGGGATGGTGAACCTGTAGTCCTGCTGCTGTTGTAGCTTGTGGAGTTGTTTTGCCTTTCTACAGGCATGGTAATTGGTTAGAACTACTTAATGGAGTAGAGAAGAAGGAAATAAGAGTTATTCACAGGTCTGACAGAGTCTGGGTTCGTTTTATGTCTTTACTTTCTGACCACTGAGCATCTAGCTAGAAATAAAAATCATAGAATGGTTTGGGTTGGAAGGGACCTTTAAAGATCATCTAGTCCAACCTCCCTAGATAAGGTTGCTCAAAGCCCCGCTGAACCTGACCTTGAACATTGCCCATGATGAGGCATCCACAGCTTCTCTGGGCAACCTGTGGTTTGTAGAACCACAAAAGCTGCCTTATAGACTGTAGCTTGTTGTTTAGTATTTAAAACTCTACTTCACTTAATTGTGAAAATTCTTTTATTCTTTTCATTATATATGCATGGTTGTCAACATAATGAACATTGCTAATTTTGCAACTTGATTTAAACAGGATAATTTGAGTCACAAAGGTTTATTGAGGACCATGAAACCTAAATCTTTTATGAAGCCTAATGCAGAATTAAAATCTTACCTGATAATTTTATTTGTATTAATATAATAGGGCTAAGTAAGTTTCTGCTTTTCAGTTAACCTATTAAGGTGTAAAATCAATTAGTTTGCACCTCTTGTTATGGACGTGGTGTTCTGAAGAAGTTCGTTTAAAACATAACTACTTTCCATTAAACTAAAGCATAACTTATCTAACATAAAGAGTAAATCAAAAAAGCGTGTAGTATTTATTGTGGAATGCTGAAGTGTGTTAGCTGTCTAGCAAAATGCCACACTTTTGTGTGCGTGGTTTTTTTTTTGTTTTTTCTTAATGTCCTAAGTGCTTCCTGAGAGCCTAGGCTTCTCTAATTTCTAATTCCTTTGGCATTGTGCACTGTAAATTAATTTTGAGCATACCTAATTTTTCATGGAACGCAATAGGAATTTCCTGTGGATCTGTCAGCTCAAGTTGTTTTTGAGGACTTAAACTCTCCACCCCTGATATTGACATTCCCAGGCATTATAATAGTAACTTTTATTCAGATTTGTGTTTTTCAGGTTTTATCAGTTCTGCTTTGTCTTATGGCATAGAACTTTTTTCTTTCTGTGCATACCTAGGTAATTGAGGTTATTGTGTGAAGCAGAACTGAAGCTATTGCTGTATGCTTAGCCAACAAAAAGCTCCCTCATGTTTATGTTGCCTTGTCTTTTAATTTCGGAGCTCCACTGCTGAGAATATTCATTTGGAAATTAAATCCCTTGTTCTATTCTGTGTAAGAAAGGTTTGTACGTGTTAGAGTTAAGAAATAGTAATAGAAGTTCTGATGGGAATTTCTTAAAGACTGGAAAAGGGAGAAAAGGTTTGTAAATAATTTTGATCTCTCAAAATTTACTTAAGTGTCATAGGCTTGGTTTTAAAGCCCAAGCGCTTGGGCTTTAAAAGGATGGTGAGGCATTATTTTACAACTGATAATTTGATTTTTATCTTGTTAGTGGAAATGCCAGAGAAGTACCTCTTGTGAAAGGGCACCGTCATGGGAACGTCCTTTAACTTTTCGTTTCTTCTGCTTTAATGTGTTCAGCTTTGTGTGGAGCTGTTTTGGAGAGAATTATGTTGTAGATATAAGCAGTTCATATTTCTTGTCTCATTGTTTTGCTTTGTTTTCCCCAAAGTCTTGTTGCAAGCTGCTTCTAACTAAAAATCTCTGCAATTTTTCTCCTAAGGTTTATTGGCATCCAAAGCTGTTGTTGCGGATGGTGCTGAAAAAAAGGAAGGCAACAAAGAAACAGCTCCAGTCCTGGAGCAGGTATGAAATGGTAGAGTTTGATTCTTTTGCAAGGTTCCCACTGGAGTGTGCCATGGAGATGTAGTACCTACAACATTAAAATTTGCCCCTTCAGATATAATAGGGAACTGAAAATTGATCTTATGTTTACATTTCTGGCAGAGCCAGAAGTATGGAATTTAATTGTCTTTAAACACAGTGTTGACTTGAATTTCAGTAATGAGGTTTTGCGTTAGAAAAGTAACAGAAAACAAAGAAAAATGAAGTCTCCATGCAACAAATGTGGGGAGATGGGTGTCCCAAGGTCCAGTTTTATAGCTGGAGCCATGACCGGCTTAGGAAAAGGCCCTTACACAGATTTAATTTGTGTTTGAAACAGGGTTTTTGACATCAAGTAGAACTTCTTTTAAAAGAAGTTTCTTTTATATTGTAAGAATTTGGTGTTGTAGGCTTGTATGTGTTTTATGAACCG